GAGATTATTCTGTATTCTGACCACGGAGCAGACTAGCAAGCCACCTATGAGCTCACAGTAACCCCCCCCCAGGATGGATTACTGGATGGTCCTAGTTGATTTGGGCAGATGAACAACAAAAATAAATATATATATATTTACACATATCAATAAAACAAGCAATGGGGGTGGGGATGGAACAGATGTGTATTTTGTGCTGACGTCCATTATAGACAACCCCCTTACTGTTTACAGAACCCACTGCAAATGGTTTCTTGGTTGCAGCAGAGCTATTTCTGTCTATGGGTGGATTTTTTCAATTAAAAAAAAGAAAAAAAGAAACCAGATTTTTAAATAAAATTCTTCAATATGGTACTGGGTTTTTTTTTTAAAGCTTTGTGGACATCACTTGTATGATGTCATAACCAGGATTAATGCTCTATATCAGCACTTTGCAAACTTTTTTGACAATGGCCAGGTATTTTTATACGGTACTTCTGCTTTTGCTACACCCTAAAAATGTTTATATCAACCAATGCATAACATTTATAAAACATACTTTATAATTTATAGCTCACAGCTTTTCATACATCAATATTATAATAAATAAGCATTCACTCTCACAATCATTGTAAAATAAATCTAACTGGGTAGGGCAGCCTGGTAATAATTTACTAATAACTGTGATCTTGGCTTAGGTGATCCAGCCCGCATTTTGCTGATGTCGTGCAGCAACAGTACACAACATGGCCCAGCAGGTTTGATAAAGACAGTACAGTGGTCTATTCAATTTTTTTAGAATGTAAAACCATCGGCCTACTAAACAAGGTATCTTTGTAAATTAAGTTTTTTTATTTCTCTTTAATTATAGTATAGTGTGTCAAACACATTCATAAATTTCGATATTAACAATTTTCCCCACCTAGAACATCAACAATTCCTGAAACAGTTCCTATTGGCTCAAGTTCAACGCCTTCATCAGGGGAGATTGTAAGATACTCTAAGGGGGGCAACTCCTGCAATACACAAAAACAACAAAAGATATAACTCCAATAGAATTAAACAGTTACTAGTTTACAATGAATCTCACCTCTAAGATAGTTATGCTGCCATAGAAATAGTTAACAACAATTTTTTAACAAAATTCCTGACAAATAAAAAAACAACAACAATTTCTAGGATAGACATAAATTATATTTTTAATACAATACAAACATGATGGAGAGCATACTAATAAATATTACTAGTGAAAACAATACCTCTGGAAATACTTCTCCCTCAGTTCTGCTAATGCATTTAGAACTTTTTTTATTTCTTTCATTTTGATGCTCACTGCAAGAAGCAAAAGTAAAATATTATTATTACTTTTTCAAAAAAAGAAATCACAATTGATAATTTTTTAAATGTTTGTAAACAAAATATTTTTTCACTACCAGTAACCCCCCCTCGTACTCATTAAGTGCAGAGTTAAACCATGCAACTGTAGAAGTTTCTATTATTTGTTGCCGATAATGTATACTTTTTTTGTGTAAATTTAATTAATATTTTAATCACTCAAACTATTTTTAAAGTGAATGAATTTAATTTTCTATTCAGCTATTTTAGGAAAGATTTTCATTACAAAATATTTCAGAATATATATATTGCATTTATTCCAGCATACTTTTTTTAAAGTTTTAAAATTCATATCATTTAGCATCATTTAATTACCACCTTTTTGTCTTTGGTATTGGTAATATGATCATTTAGATAACTTAATAATATAATTAAATTTGACTAATACTATTTAACGCGATCTATCAAAAATGACATTTATAGATGATTAAAAGTGCTCTTGAAACATATTGATTTTTTGACTTACATAACTTCATCGTGGTTGGTAGGGACTTCCTGCTCTTCTTCACTTGCCTCAACAGGAGCAGGACTCAGAACATTAAAAGAGCTGTCGGAGTCGCTGTCAGTGTCACTATATACAACTATAGCTCCACCTCTATATATTAGTTCACGCTTTTCATAGCCAGAATCTTCTGGCTCCTGTTTAATAGTAACAACCAAATCAACATTTTGGAGAGATTCATCACTCTCTAGGCACTTTGCACTTATACTTTCAACTACCATCCCATTTTCTTGTTCTAAAATAAGATTTTGCGTTTCCGATTCATTACTGGCTGAAATGTCTATTTGTCCATTACTTTCTTCATAAAGAACTTTGTGTTCTGGACAAACCGCTTGATGCTGATCATTTACGTTCAGCTCTTTCACTTTTTTGTCAGAATGAATAGCATTGGAGAAGTCACTCTGTGAAGACCTTTGAGTCTGATCATCAGCTGGTAAAAAATTCATTTCCAAAGTGTCAACTCCACTACAAGAATTTAGTTTGGCATCTTCTTTGATCATCTGCAGAGGCTGGTCACTAATGCAATCCATTTGTGATTGATCACCACAGTTTGACATTAGAAGCTTATCTTCATAGACTGTTATTTCAGATGGGTCATTTGTGCTCATTGCATTTGAATGTTCAGTTGTCATCAAGGACTTTTCAGCATCACTAATAAAATCTTGTTTTACACCACCAGTATGTAGCGGCTGATCATCTTTAACTGACATTGGTGTCTGATCATTTGTGCTTGTTATTTTTAAATGACCATCTTTCTTGGCCACTTGAGTGCAATCATCAGTAATCATTAAGTTTGATAGTTCTTTTGGGCTTGCAGTTATGGAATGGAAATCTCCACTGGTCTTTGAAATATTGTCATTTGGGATATCATTAAGGAGATTGCCATCTTTTGTAGCAATAGGTTGCTGATTGTCATTGTTTGCAAATAGCTGCTGTGAATTATCAACATTGTTATCTTCCACACCATTTGAAGAATGTGATTCTTCCATCAAATTGTCTTGGTCAGCCATATGTAATCTGGTCAGTCAATGAAGATTTAAAAAGAAATATTATTTTTCTGACAGACTAAGCAAAGCCAGATATGTTATAACTTTATCCATTTAATATAGTCATAGATTTTTATCTGTAAATAGAAATTAAAATCAGTTATATTACCATAGGCCTAGGTTATAATTTATAATCCTTTAATATTTTATAATTATAAAAATATAACCTATTAAAATTAAATAATAATATTTTAAAATAGGCGTACAAACTTTTTTTTTTAAATAGGCCATAAAGCAGTGGTTCTCAACCTTTTTTTAGTGCCACAAATCCTTGAAATTATCAATGAAATAACATTAGAATTTGCCATGTTGTGGTGATCCCAAACCTGGAATATACCTAGAAAATAAATTTGCACCCAGTAATGCCGGTATTGTCAATAGACTGTAATTTACCGTTGCTCAAATGCCTGGTCATGGTCACAACCCTGCATATTGGTTCAGAAAAGCACATATACTAATACTACTACTATCTACCAAATTTTTTTTTGAAAATCTAGCTATGTGTTTTCTGTTTGTCTGTTCTCTGGACCCTACAAAAACCTAAAATAACACAACACTGGTGTTGAATATGCCTTTGAATACTTGGTAATTGGTATGATGGACTAGTAGTGAGAGTGAGGTGAAAATAATTTATAGGCCCTACAATTAATAAAGTAGAAACTGAAAGTATCTTTTTCTCCAAACCTGAAGTTTCTATTTAATTAAAATATAAACCAACACACAAACAAAAAAAGGATTTGTCTTTTTTTTATTAGCCCATGGCTTATGGGCAGCCTACACTTACTTACATTACATACACTTCTGTCTTCTATTAGATTTCAAAACACTGTCCCCTTGTTTTAAAAACACAACAGCCAGGCAGGCTACAACAACTTACTTTATGTCAACTATGATATCAGTTCAGTGTGACAGTTTTATCAGATTATTCAGATGCTACATACATGGCTGCATGAATACTTATAATAGTAATAACAAAGAATTACATTAGAATACCAATTATAATAATTTCAATTGCCATTACTGAGCCAATCAGTAACACTCACTCTCATTCATTCAGTCAGACTGGTATCAGTATCACTAAAACTAAATAAAGTGAATTCAATCAGTTTGAGTCAATCACTGGTAACTTTTACTTTTCGTCCTTTAGTTTTATCCTTTAGTGTAGAGTAACGTTGACGTAATTTATATATCTGTATTCCGTTAACCTGATGCAACAGGTGATATTCACTATTAATGTTTAAATCAACACGGCTTATCACGAATAAATAAAATAGGTCTACATTTACTTTGTTTCGAATGATCCATTAACAGAAAGCATGGTCGCATATACTAGGCAGTCTTTAGCAGTTAGACTATTTTTTCTTTAAAAAATGACAACAAAATATTCCAGGAAGAGTGTTTCTTGCCCTCGGCTTCGAACTTTAAAAAAATTATATATTGGCATTATTATTGACATTTTATTTATATGGGCTCCTCTGTCATTGATCTATTATAATGAAAAGTCTATTGTGGTGATGATACCTTATTGCATTTTATATAAAAAATAATACATATTTATATTTTTAATAAGTTAACTAATATTCATATATTGTCTTATAGGGAGCCAGCCATTACGTAGGTAAGCAAAAAGAAATATGTCATGTTCCACCCGATCCTCCCTGTTGCACCCGTAACCGTACTTTTCACAGCTGACGTGATATTTGCTGCACGCCCCAGGGCCGGCCCGACGGTTGCTGGCGCCCTGTGCAAGCTTAACTTTGGCGCCCCTTAAAATTAAAGGAAAAAACTAGTTATTCGGTAATGGATTTATTACCTATGTTGTTGTTTTTCTTGACAAACAATGAACTATTCATTTTTTAAATTGGAAAAACGGTTAATTTAGTTGGATTATTACTTTTAAATTAAACAATAAAAATAAAACAGAAAAAAGTTATCCGTAACTGAAACTGTAATAGTAATAGCAACACCCGCGTAACGGAATAGATTTGAGTCGTTTATTTAAAATCTTTTTAGTTTTAAAAAAAGTCTGATAACCGATAATATATTTTTATGTACTATTAATGTTAACTTAATTTCCCGTTTGAAACTGAAAAAATTATTAGTTCTATATTGTATTGTCATGTATAAAATAGATGGATGTAAAACTAGGCCTACTAACTTAGTGAATTAAAAATATTACTTTCTAAATTACTTTTACTTCCGCTTTTCGACGTTTGTAGCAACGGGAGGCGCCAATATTTATTCCTAAAAGTAGAGCTTATTACTTATTACTTATTACAGTTTTAAAGACATTCACAGAACTAAAATGATTTACTCTAAACTTACGGCAGCAGAAAATGTTGGGATATTTTTGACCGAAAATGAAACAGTGAATCAGGAGTTTGAATTCGTTAGGTCTGAATGTTCAATTGAAAGCAACGACAAATTCGTGGTACGGGACCGAAACTTCAATCGCCAATACGCTCATTTGTATGCAGAGAGGCTGATGACAATGAGGAGTCGCCTATCAGAGGCGGCAGTAAAAAAATGGGGTAAATGCTGTGCTAATTTGTTTTTAAAAAATCACAATATAGATGGAGTAATTTAATTATTGGTGAAATGAGTACAGTAGGCAGGCAAATTATTAATTAGCTGAAATTTGGTGGGGTGTTGTAGTTGTAGTTTCATGGTAGTGTTGCAACTTATTATTAATATTATTAATTTTAATTTATTTAAAAAAACATTACTACACCAGTTGAGTATAGTATAACCAGTGATTCTCACACCATTAAAATCAAGGAGTAAGCCTAACAAACAAAAATTAAAATATATCAAACACAATTTTGATTTTTTTTTTTTAGTCATTTGATTGATTTAATTTGAGTCATTTATGATTATTTTATGAGTCATTTACTTAGGATTGGGGGGGGGGGGGTCCCTGACTCCAATGTCTCTAATATCTCCAATGTCTCCAATGTCTCTAATATCTCCAATGTCTCCAATATCTCCAATATCTCCAAGTTCCCTGAGATTTGAGACAGTATTGATCTGCTTTTTATTAGATCTAAACAGAGGTTCAGATGCAACTTATGACTATGTGCATTCATTTTGTAAAATATAAACAGGTACAACATCATTTACGGGAGTACAAAAATATTCAAAACCAGGTTCAAATTATGGGACAATTAAATTACTTTGCAGCTTCTACTTCTAGGTTGTGTTAAGTTGTTTGTCTAAAAGGACTTGATGTTTTCCATATTAAAAGGAAAATTTAAATAAAAGCTTGTAAATTGAGATGTACCAACAATGACAATTTTTGAAACTTGGAATTCTTGGATTTATTTTCATTTCCAGGCAAAGGCATTCCTCAACGTAAATTACATGGTCTTAACAGTGATGAGCGCTGTATAGTCATAGGTACTTTGTTCAAACACATGGAGTTGCAACCAAGTATCTTGAAAGAAGTCAGCGAAGAGGTACAAATAATACAGTTATTTAATTTATTTTTCTGGCTTTATATTAAGTAAATCAAGTGATAGTCAGTTTTTGACTATTTTTTTATTTGTTTTTAAAATTATTATGCAATCCTTTTAACCCAGATTTCAAATTATTACCTTGATATCAGTCTAGGTATCAAGGGAGTTAAGTCCATACAATTTTTTTGTATAAAATCACTTTATTTCTTTGGGTGACAGTGAATCAAAATTTGTAGAATGAACTGTGTATATCTATAAGAGAATGAACTGTATATGTCTATAAGAGAATGAACCTTGTAACAGTTTATGTCTATAAGAGAATGAACCGTGTATGTCTATAAGAGAATGAACCATGTATGTCCATAAGAGAATGAACCGTGTATGTCTATAAGAGAATGAACCTTGTAACCGTGTATGTCTATAAAAGAATGAACCGTGTATGTCTATAAGAGAATGAACCATGTAACTGTGTATGTCTATAAGTTTTCATGCATAATTCTTTTTATGAAGGGTAAATAAGCATAAGCATTTAAATTCTCACAACTAATTTATTGTCCTGACAGTAGCCCATGTCGGGATTTTGTATTAAACCCAATATCAACTTATTGAAATCTGAAGCTAAATCTATTAATAAAAAATGACCATTCCAGACTATATCAAAGACTCATTGTTGTAAACATCAAATTTATGTTGATTACTTGATTGCCTTCCTGAATACAGTATATTGGTTAGTTTTTCACTTATATGATTTAACTACTTGCTATATCAACCAATGTAGCCACTCTTTCAGCCTCATCTGCATTGTTTCACCGGCCCTCCATCTATGAGATTTATATTAGGACCATATCATGGACATAAATATGTTTTTAAATGCAAAAATGGCTTTGTAAAAATGGTAATTAAATAATGGTAAGTAATATTATTTTTCTGCCTTGATCCTGTGATGTTGATTTTTTTTTCCCTAAGAAATGAAAACCATTATGTGCTGTTATTTTTACACTTTCATCAATTCTTCCTTTAAAAAAAAACAAAAAAACAGCACAATTTAATGCCTCAGCCTATTAAGAGTCGCTACACCGATTCTAAGGACAAACTGATTATCGAGGATGAGTTGCAGCGCATCATTTTGGTTGGACAACTAAAATGTCAGTCTTCAGTAACAGGTAACATTCAAGTTGCTTTACAATATCTACAATTCTTTAAACCTTTTTTAATAGGGATTTTTAATAGAGTATTCTATTAATTCTGACAGGATATGACTTTATGTAGCAAATTATTCAAATTAAACAGTAAAAATGATGAAGTATTTTAATTAACTATTTAAAGTAAAGTACCTGTGTGTTACCATTCAAAGAGAGGTCCGCTGGGACGAGCATATTAACAATGTATGTAACCAAGCAAACAAGACCCTAGGGTTCTCAAGGCGAAATCTAAAGATTGGCAACTCCTGTGTGAAAGAAAGAGCATATTAAGCCTTTGTCCGTCCTATTTTAGATTATGCATCTTCAGTCTGGGACCCATTTACCCAGAAGAGCATTGACAGGTTGGAGACAGTCCAGCGACGAGCAGCACGCTTTGTCCTAAACCGCTACTGGAATACCTCTAGTGTTAGCAGCATGCTGGAAACACTAGGCTGGTCACCATTGGAGAAACGACGAAGATAATCCAAGCTCTCCATGATGTACAAGATAAATAATGGGCTGGTCCACTGTTCCAGTATTAAACAGAAACTCGTCCCTCTCCCCCATAGACAGCGACGAGGCCATGACAGGCAATTCAGGCTCATACCAGCAAGAAGCCAAGAAGCCAGTATAGGAGCTGCTCATTCCTGCCCAAGACAATCAGGGACTGGAACAATCTTTCAAAAGGAACGGTTGAGGCGACAACACTAGACACATTTGTGTCTATTGCCTCAAGCCTTCAAACCCTTAGTGCATGATTCCCTCACAAAGTGGCACAGGAAATCAGTGAAATTTCCTCATCAACACCAGGAACAGAAACATTGCAAATCCCATCTACATGCATAGGAGCCAAAATGATCAATAAATTGATCGTGGGCACTTAAGATATAGAAGAAGAAGAGCTAAGATTCCTAAATATGACAGGTATCAGTTTGGACATAGAAATATAGATTTTAAGATTAACTTGAAAGATATCAGGATGTTAAAAAATTTATAATCAACGTATCTTCTAAAAAAATCTATGACAATAAATTCAATGAGGAATAAATAATGAGGTAAACACCTTACTATAAATCCATCACATGGTTTTAACTTCAAATATGCAATCTTACATGACCAGAGATGAACCTCAGCTCATGAGGTTGTCCAAATTAGTGCAATCTTACATGACCAGAGATGAACCTGAGCTCATGGGGTTGATCAAACTTGTTGTCTGCATAAAATATGCATGTAACCACAGGTTGTCTACATAAATTATGCATGTAACCGCTGGTTGTCTGTATAAATTATGCATGTAACCGCTGGTTGTCTGTATAAAATATGCATGTAACCGCTGGTTGTCTGTATAAAATATGCATGTAACCGCTGTGGGCGCACTGCTGATATTCTGACTGGATCAGATCAGATTGTGAAACAAAATAATTTGTTTATCTTTAGGTCCTAACATGAAGGAAAAGAGTTCACCTTAATCGAGCTGATCTTAGATATCTGTGATGAAAAGGTTGGGATGTGTCCTCCAAAGTTGTTTTCGTTTACAACAGCATTTTTCTTCCAATAGTTCTTCAAGCGAAGGTTGATTAGTTTGTGTGATATTCCTAGCTTTCTTGATTGGTAGACTTCATCAGTGTTGGATGTTAAACAAGGAATTCCCACAATAGTGTAACAAGTAATACTCAAAGTTCAGTTGGCTTCCTATTGTTGCACTGTAGAATAAGTTAATAATTTGTTTATTTACGCTGAAAGTGAAAGTCTTTGGTTGACTTTTTAGAATTTGGCCATGTTCATGTTATGTTAGCTTATTATTAATGGCGACACCTACATACTTATAAGTCTCTATTTGCTCTATACTGTTTTTTTTTTATTGTGAGAGCTGCAACAGGGTGATTCCATCGAAATCAACAATTTCTTTTGTTGTTTGAGACATTCAACTAAAAAACTAATGTAAGCTCTAGGGGTGGGAGTGTATTTTGGAGATTTTGTGTACTGGTCCCTTGGGTGTGGGGGTGTGTGGCAGAAAGTACATACATTTAATAATTATCCTGAAATTCTGACACTATCTAATATATCTGCCAACTGTCAACTAAAAATCTCTGTAATCCTTTATATTTCATTAAAAAACATATTTTAAAAAGTTGTTCTCTTTAACTTTAAATGACCTCAGTGTTTCGTATTTACCGTCACACGGTTGCTTTGTATTTACACTCGCTATATATCACTAGAGTTTGCCGAGTCACACGGTTGCTTTGTATTTACACTCGCTATATATCACTAGAGTTTGCCTAGTCACACGGTTGCTTTGTATTTACACTCGCTATATATCACTAGAGTTAGCCTAGTCACAATTTTTTGTCCATTGTACATGATTCTGTGCCTGTGTTGTATTTATTTCGTTTGGCTAAACTAAACAGATGCACTGGACGACGACAACACACATTTGAATGTGCAGTATTTCACAACTTTTTATTAGCCCATGCCCCCATGCCCCAACTGATCACACAAAATGTTTATTGCCTCCACCCCTTTTGAAACAAATATATTTCCTATATCCCAGAATTGGGGGGGGGGGGGGGGGTCTGGCCCGGGTGTCACTTTTTTCTTTATATGGAGGGGCAGATTTTTTTCAATCAACTGCATGGTTTTTGTGACAGTCAATGGCTAAAAGATTGACCTGCAGGAGGACGGGGTAGTACGAAGCCCAGTCATGCCAAAGCTCTGGGATACCGGGATAGGAAAGGAATTTGAGAGGGGGTATGCCCAAAAAGGACGATGCATCAAGAAAACCACTGGAAAAATTTTATTAACCCAGTTTATGTCAATTTTGTTATCTTGGAAACAATTGTCTCACTTCTGAAAATTGCATTTTTTAAAATGACATCTGACCAGGTGTCATTGCAGCAGTTTTAGGAATGGAACCGGACGATCAAAAAGGAAAGTTTTACGTTGAAGACTACTGCTTCCAGGAACTGCCGAGCCAGATGCCCAGACCAATGATAGATGAAGAGAAGTAATAAATGTTTTCACTGGAAATGTTGCACTCTTATAAAATCTCCTAAGTATATTTACCCGTACTTTCTAAATAAAACTAGGTTAAGTTCAAGGTCATTTGTGTCCTAAATACAAACACTGAGCATTAAACATGAGCCACTTAGCTTTCTTTTTAAAAAAGGTGGAACAAAAACAGCAACTAAAATCTACTGCTCCTGTTTGTTTGTGTTCTGCTGGTGTTTGTGTTCTGCTGGTGTTTGGTTAAATAATTATGTCTTAAATATGAACCACTTAACTTTCTTTAGTGTCCTAAACACAAACACTGAGCATTAAAATATGAACCACCACTTAACTTTCTTTTTTTTTTGTTCCGGTCTGTGTCTCCCTTTCATCCATAATTATCATTATCTTTCTCAGCATTTGTTCCGGTCTGTGTCTCCCTTTCATAAATAACCACTGGTCTTATAAAAAGTTTCCATTTCACTTAAAAATTATGATTTAGGCGGAAGATTATAAACATAGGTGATATTGTGAGGCAATAGAGCACAACAGTGATGTCATTGTCCATTTGTATCTTGTTCTTAGTGTAATACTTTTAAAATAATTTTAAAAAATTATGTATCTCATTCCACAGATTTATTCTGTTTGTAAGTAGTTTTGAGTTTGGAGGTCAGGAGGAAAGGTCTTTTCAAATGCAAATGTTAGCTGACCTCGTTAGTGGACAACTTGGAGATCCTGACCAGTTAAAGGCATCCTCTGCTATATGTCATGTGATCATTGCTGGCAACTGTCTCAGTCGATCGACACAAGACAGAGATTCTTTAAGTAAAGTATGTTTAAAGACCATCATGAAAAGATTTCTTAATTCTCTAATAATTACATATAAACTCTTTATGCATGTAAATACTTTGCGAACCGGTACATTTTGATGAATTTGTATGAATTAATAGACTGCACTTTAATGATGTTGAAAGTGGAAGGGTATTTGGTGGCTTTTGTTTCAACAGTACAATGTTGACAAAGTGCAATATTGACACAGTACAATATTGATGTTATACAATTCTAACTTACAGATGGCTATTTGTTATCTATCCACTCTTGGCCATAGTTTATTATCCAAAAAGTACAGGAAATAGTAATCCTTAAAAGAAAAATGCCAGAAGATGACTTTTATGGTCTCCATTGGTTTACCAATGAACAGTTTTTACTTGAAGAAAAATGGGCAACTTGGCATAGCATTTTGCTTCATTTTACTGATTTTACTGTTCTTAAGTTAACTTTTTTTTAAAATCTCTCTAAACCTTGAATTGGCTACTTAATTTTATTTTTGTTTACAAACAGGCAAAATATTTATCCAAAAAGTCATCCGCTGGAAGTGTAGATGCCATCCGATCTCTGGATAGTTTTCTTATGGAACTTGTGGTAAGTCACTGTGCCGTCCTATCTCTGGATAGTTTTCTTATGGAACTTGTGGTAAGTCACTGTGCCGTCCTATCTCTGGATAGTTTTCTTATGGAACTTGTGGTAAGTCACTGTGCTGTCCTATCTCTGGATAGTTTTCTTATGGAACTTGTGGTAAGTCACTGTGCCGTCCTATCTCTGGATAGTTTACAAAAGGTTCAAAACTCAGCCGCTAGGCTAATCCTAAAGGCAAGAAAACGTGATCACGTCACACCACTACTTCATTCACTTCATTGGCTCCCTATACAAGCACCTATTGACTACAAACTCTCTGTTCTCTGCCACAACTTTTTCTCGAATTCCTCCCCTTCCTATCTAATTGAACTTCTCTCTGTCTATTCACCCTTTTGACAGTGTCACTTCTCCGCAGACGCGCATATTCTTTCTGTCCCCAAGACTCGCACAAAAGCATACGGTGAGCGATCATTCTCTTTCTGTGCACCCAAACAATGGAATTCTCTTCCATTACACATCCGCAATATACCGACCATCACAACCTTCAAAACTGCACTCAAAACACATCTATTTAATCTCTACTATCCTGACTGACTCCCACCTCTGACCCTAAAATGATGCTGCTGGGTGTCGTCCACGGCTTGACATGTCAATAGTTTTATATATGCATTTGTTTTGTTTTATTTAATTAATGTATGTCAATTAATTATTTCAGATTTTTATTATGTTTGTTAAATTGTATGTACAGCGTGGTGAGCCCAGCCCTAGGCTGGGGTACCACGCTATATAAAACCATGTATAATAATAATAATAGTTTAGACAAGTGTTGATGTCACAGTGGTGCCTTAATTTGTTTTTTCAGACAAGTGTTGATGTCACAGTGGTGCCTTAATTTGTTTTTTCAGACAAGTGTTGATGTCACAGTGGTGCCTTAATTTGTTTTTTCAGACAAGTGTTGATGTCACAGTGATGCCAGGTGAATACGACCCTTCAAATTTCACACTACCACAGCAACCACTTCACCCCTGCATGTTGCCTCAGTCATCACGATACAACACGCTCCATTGTCAAACTAATCCCTGTGAGCTCACTGTAGAAGGGATAAGGTCAGTGCTGGCTTTAGGCGCGGTCACGCCCTAAGGCTATGTAAAACGTAGAGGTTTCTCGTTACAAAATTTATATGGAAGCTATCACAAAAATTGAAAGCATTGTAAAAAGTATGCTTTTTTCATTATTTAAAAGTGAAAGAGAACTAGAATATTTAAACTGAAAACTGTAATAAAATTTTTTAATATACATTTGTTAGGCCAGTGGTTCTCAACCTGCCTAATGTTGTGACCCCAGACCTGTTTACTCTTACGATTTTGGCGTACAATGTATGATTTTGAGGTGTAAACATTATATATACTGTATGTTTATTTTTTACTATAATTATAAGGTACTGAACAATTATGTGATGATATTGTACGATTTTAAGAGTTTGAGAGTAAATAGGTCTGTGACCCTCTAATACAGTTCCTCATGTTGTGGTGACCCCAACAATAAAATTATTTTGTTGCTAAATGCTCCTTCATAAATATGTTTTCCGATGGTCTTAGGCGACCCCTGTGTAAGGGTAGTTTGACCACAAAAGTGGTCGCGACCCACAGGTTGAGAACTGCTGCATTAGGCAATTATACATTTATCATTGGTTACCCTAACCTAAATTCTGGAGTATAAATGTTAAGGCCCTAGTCTGTATTATTTTAGCCTATATGAACACTGCATATAGCTCAGAGAGTAAAAAACTCCCTCTATAGGCGTATACAAGACAACAAGATCAACAATAAACAACCCCAGACCAACACACCACCATCTTCCCTCTATAGACGTATACATGACAACAAGACCAACAACCCCAGACCAACACACCACCATCTTCCCTCTATAGACGTATACATGACAACAAGATCAACAACCCCAGACCAACACACCACCATCTTCCCTCTATAGACGTATACATGACAACAAGACCAACACACCACCATCTTCCCTCTATAGATGTAAACATGACAACAAGACCAACACACCACCATCTTCCCCTCATTTTAGTGGGTCCCCTCAAATTTCAATAATTATATTTTAATTAGTTTTTATATAGTGCAGAGTTTACAATTTATAGTAATCATTTATTACAATTGTTTTTGCTATATTTAAGACATTTAACGATTGTAAAATTAATTAATTTCTTTGAAAATCCTATAGGATTCTGGGATCATCAGGACAACCTATAGATGACATTTTACGCTACAGTGAAATTGATAGTTCACTAGAAGCTTTAGAAAACACCCTTGTTTGGGGCCATCTGGCTCCCACAGCCCCTGATACATTAGGTCAGTTTTGTTGATATTTCACTAGAAGCTTTAGAGAACACCCTTGTTTGGGGACATTTGGCTCCCACAGCCCCTGATACATTAGGTCAGTTTTATTTAAAGTTATTTATTATTTCTGACAAATTTCAAGATGTCATATGAGAAGGAGCAGTACTGTACTCCAAATTTTAGGGGAAACTACCAAATTGTTCTATTCATCAGAAGGCCATCCTGGGAGACATTGTTTAATTGGCTATGCCACTTTACCGAGATATTTTAATAAAAGAAAAACATGCTTAAGATAATTTTTTTCTTTGCAATTTATGCTAGCTTATCAATGAATTTTTTTACTGTAAAATTGCTTCTTTGATCTAGCTTTTACTTACTCCAGTTTTTCTAACTATTATTTTGACAATTTTTGTATTGTTCCACTTTGAATGGGTCCTATTGTTAAGTTCATGTTGTATTATTTCCTGTGTCCTTTTCATTAAATATTGCCGCCCACCAATGCCTGATTTATCACAAATAAGTTTATTTGTGCTTCAGTTTACTAAGAAATGTATTTTAAGTCAGACAAGAGATAGACAAATATCACAATAGTTTAGTGGGTTTTTTTTTTCCATTTCAATTTCACTTTGTGCATTGACAATTGATAAATAATGCTTTACATCATTTAGTGGTACAGCTATTAACAAAATTTTTATACTAATTTAGTATTAAGTGTAAGGACATGCATAAGGTTTTCTCACTATCAAAGTGGCCAGTGAAGCATTTCGGGGTAAGCCAACCTTGGTCTAAGTGAGCTTGAGATGGTAGTACCGATCTGTTTGAGGGTGGGAGAGTTAGGTACAGGATGTGGTTGAATGGGTAAGAGCAAAGGGAAAGTGGAGGTGCTTTGCTGCTCAAACAGGTAATCTTAATCAATGTAACAATAAGATTAGATCGATACTAAATTAATGGTTTATACAAATCCTTATAATTGCAGGTTGCTATCCCTTTGTGAAAGATGACCCTTTTATAGTATCAGAATGCCCACATATTTATTTTGCTGGCTGTCAGAAAGAGTTCAGCAGAAAAGTTTACAAAGGTATATATAATTAATATAAGTTAGAAAGCTGTTCGCAAGATTTTTTTTTAAAAAAACGTATATTTTTTAAAATAATTTTTTTTGCACCATTGTTCGGTAATATGTCCGCAGCCTGAGTTGAATAGGCACCATATAATATCATAGATATGTTTTATTTACACAGGGCCTTCCCATCAGGAAGTTCTTTTGCTCACCATCCCAAAGTTTTGTCAAACTGGAGAAGCTGTTCTAGTAAGTCTCAAGACTTTAGAAGCTCAACCTATCAGTTTCCATGGTCACTTCCCCATCCCTGATGAACAGATGGATACAGGATTGGACAAGTGATGAACAGATGGATACAGGATTTGGACAAATGATGAACGTATGGATATAGGATTGAACAAGTGATCCTATAATTGTTTGTAATGCAATGTCTTGTGGCCCATTTATGTAACTAATAAAGATTATAAATATAAATGTTACTTACTTTCCCTTATGTTATGTTACTTTCATTTAACTGAGGTACATATGCTGTTTCTGAGGTACATATGCTGTTTCTGAGGTACATATGCTGTTTCTGGGGTACATATGCTGTTTTTAATTTTGGAAATAATATTTACTTTTTTAAAAATACATAGCTGTTACATGGATTTAGAGTGAAGCTGAAATTTCAAGAAGGGAAATAAGGGACATTATAAATTAAAGAGAGAAAGAGAGTAATTGTTGGACAGCTAAAAAGAATTGATTAATAATGGCTATTCTTCTTCTTTAAATCTATTCCTTAAAATTGTTGGACAGTGCCTCAGATTTTATTATTGATCATTAGGTATAAAATCATTTTTTTTAAAACATGCCGTCACTGACAATATCCTATAACTTATAACATGCTGTCAATATTCTTTAACTGCTGTCACTGTCAATATTCTAAAGAAAAAGGCAAGCAGGTTATCAGTGAATTTCTGACTGAATATCTAAGAACACTCAAATTAGCAATTGGAAGATTGTCTTGTTTTTGACATGGTTCCAAGTTACTGAGAGAAGCTATCTTGTTTTTGAGGCGGTTTCCCCCACCGCTTATAACCTATAAGCAATTTTGTTTCTATTAATGCTATTCATACTGATTTTCTCATAACTAATATCAAATGATGACGCTCACTGACACAAAAAAGTCAGTACCAGTACATTCCAAATGAAACAACAATGTGCAACCCACTAACTAGGCGTCCCCCCCCCCCCCTCTCTCTCTCTCTCTCAGTCTCAGCCTCACTTGATTGAAGAGTTGGGTGAAAACTGTAAGTGGTAAAAAAAATACTAGTTAAATTGACAATAAACTCTAATTATACTAAATCAAAAATGAGGACCACCATTCTACCCATGTTGGGTGATTATGTATTTGTAGTTTTATATTAGAAGATCCAAATAATTTCTTATCTGAACCCTTAATTGTAGACTGTTGCATTGACTTTTATTGATTTGTTCTATGTCACTCAGTCTTACAGTTCATGTGTAAGGAAGATGAAGAGATGAGGCAAACAATACAAATATAAAATAATATAGACCTATCCTATTAACTGTTATACATGGTATGTGGGGTTTTCCTTGTACAAAAAAAAAAAATTCTTTCACCCACCCCCAAAAACAAAATTCTTCCCCCCCCCCCCCCACCAATCTATTGTCAAAGTAAGTAATATCAAGCAATGGAGGCTGGGGCTCAAAAGTTGACAAAACATTCATTCAAGTCATGCGCTTTATAAGAATGCCAATTCTTATTGCTCACACATACCAATGCCAAAACAACCCCTCCTCCTGTTTTGTTGCGTTCCTATTTTCAGGTTAGACCTATTTTGTTTTTCTCTTTTCCTAATAGCGGTAAATGTTTGACATGGACCTAAAAATCGACTAAAATTTTGGTCTCTTCGTGTAATGTAACTAATTATCTATTGTACATAAATGTCAGCGCTCCTTTTAAATTTGGAATAACATTTTTGAAACTATTGGAATTTACACTTTCAACAAAAATAAATGTATATTTACCATTCAATGTGCGGGTAATTGGTACAATAAAGTTTTTAAAAAATACCTGTGATCTTAAAAATATGAGAAACAATTTCTCAGGGTAATAAGGGGAGAGACTGCAATCAGGTTAGCACAATGTAGAATGAATAAAACAGAGAAGGGTTAAACCTGAAAAAAGAAATGCAACAAAACAACGAACGTGTCGGCAGAAAGCCGTCGTGAGCGAACAAAAGAACAGAAAAAACGGTATAAAAATAAGAAATACCACTTAGTTTGGACGTAGTATCCGTGGGCAGCAAAAGAAATGCATTATCTTTTGCTGCCCACGGATACTACATCCAAGCTAAGTGATATTTATTATTTTCAGGTTTAACCCTACTCTATTTTATTCAAACAATTTCTCAGAAACTTATCGTAAGTCAACATGACCATTATCTTTTTAAAATTAACTAACTCAAAACGCACACAGTCTTTGAGCTACATAAAAACTGCATATTTGTCAGCAGAGAAACCAGTAGACAAAAATATAGATGATAAAAATATATCAAAAAGAGAAAATGAATCATGTAGCAACTGCATTGGCTGGTAGTAAATGTGATAGTGACAGCTATGGGTATAGTAAATGTGGTCATATGCACTGGTTGGTAGAAAATGTGGAAGTGTTCTGACAATGACAGCTATAAAAATTGCACATTTTATTTTAATATGCGGCATACACATTGAAAGTTTAAATTTTACTATATTCCTTTATTATTATTTTTGTCACCCTAATTAAATGTTATGGGACACATCAAAAACCAGAAAATGTTCTAGAGTAATTTTCCTACTGGCTTAATTGTACCCGCAAATTATCAACTTCCAAACATTTTTAAAAAGTCATTACATTTTATGATGTTGAGTCCACTGAGTTTTGATGGCATGCACTTAAAATTTCTTTTTATAACGTACCAGTGTAGATAAGCTTCATTTTAGGTAAAGATGGCCATCTCAGAACTATGAATCAATGAATGTGGGTTTCGATGCGGCATGGGCATTTTAAGTAAGAAATGTATGAAATTTGTCATCGCTTGCCTCCTGGTTAATGGAAAATTTCTGGCTTCAAAGCTGCTGACGTAAGAGGTGCATCCTCTTGTGACCGTGGTATACTGTGAGTAAAGAAGACCGACGCACCAGAAGATAAAAATAATGTTCACAATGCATAGGGATAACGGCCAAGCTTGTTGGTGGAAGAGCTGCCACAAGATTTCAGTCCAGGCCGTGTGGGGACAGATGATGAGAGTGTACAATACGCAGCCAACGACGAAAAAAAACATGTTGACGATGGCTAAAATTAGCATCCACAAAAAAAGGGGATGGTTCTCGGCCGCCACACATTTGAGTAGGAAGAGACAATGGTGATCCAGGTAGAGGAAGCAACGGTTGCACAATCTACAATGTTTCGTCATGTTGTTGATCACAAGCTGAAATAAAGTGACTCATTTTTAAGGGTGAAATTTAATCATACCGTTACATTTGTACATTTAAGTTTAAGCAGATGATTAAATCTCCTTTCAACTCTCAGTTGTCATTAAATTATCAGATTAAATTAACAAAATGATGTGTATCATAGTCCATGTCTGTTTTAACCAACGAACTGTGGTATAGAATCATGCTGTAGTGTGGGAGCTTGTGAGAGCTTTTTGATTGCCTTTTGAAATAGCATGAAACAATATAGAAATATTGATACAAGACCCCAATAATTATATATTTTTAGAAAGGTAAATGGCTGGGGATAAAGTTGGCTATTTTGCCCAACCTGTAAAAAAAATTTTGTTCAGTAACCATGACCTTGGAGTGCTCAAGAAAAAAAGTTGACAAAATGTCTTGCTTTCAAGTGCTCATAACATCAATTATTTTTTTTATAGTTCCATTAAAATACTTTAAAAAATGTTGTAGCCAATTCATTTATCTCTCACAAAATGTATAGTTTGCTAAGGTTTCAATTACAAATAAGCCTCTGAAAGCAATTTTAGGTCATATATTACTGGAAAAAAACAAACAAATTGGGACCACAGCTAAAACCAAGTATACAACATACAAAATCTCAGGCAAAAATGTTATTATTGACAATTAAAAAATTTAAAAAGGAACTGGAACTGATTTGGGTTGTCTAACTATAAAATTTATTAGTTCTGATCTAATAAGTTGTTATTTCTGTCATGGAGAATGTTTAAACCATCGTCAGTATCACTTAAATCCTCTTCCCAAAAAGCTTTCAAAAATATTTCTATTATTTCTCGTACTTTTACCTGAAGGCCCAGCCACAGCTTCATAAAATTTAGCTAAAAAAACCACAGTCAATGAATAGCGATATAATACTGAGTACTTATTGTTCAGTTATCAACAAACAGCTTGACCCGGAAGATGATTTAATTGTTAATAAAAGGAAGTGGCTATAATTTCGGTTAAATATTGGATTAGAAGTTGTTACCTGACTGTGTTTTTTATCGGCCGACCACAGTTCGTGGCTTAATACACAGAACTAGCATGTCACACACAACCATGAATGTCATCAAATGACAAGCCATAAAAATTATTCAATTCTATATTAAGCTTAACACAATGTAATGGGTCCTGTTAACTCTCTGTATGTTACATGAAATGGGTCCTGTCAACTCTGTATGTTACATGAAATGGGTCCTGTCAACTCTGTATGTTACATGAAATGGGTCCTGTTCACTCACGTCACAAACAGGACAATAATTGAAGGGTGGGTTTTGGGTCATGCAAAGATCCACCAGCCTCATTGGTTTTCTGGACACAGGTTCCTTGACTGATGTCACCACAGCACCTGGAACATACAAATGGTGTTGACCAGTCTAAGAAGATGGGAGAAAGCCAGGGGATACATCATTGTAATGGCCATTTGACATCTAGGCCAGAGAATACGTCATTACAATGGCCATTTAACATCTAGGCCAGAGAATACATCATTGCCATGGCCATTTAACATCAAGGCCAGAGAATACATCCTTACCATGGCCATTTAACATCTAGGCCAGAGGATACATCACTACAATGGCCATTTAACATCTAGGCCAGAGGATACATCATTACAATGGCCATTTAACATCTAGGCCAGAGGATACATCATTACAATGACCATTTAACATCTAGGCCAGAGAATATATCCTTACCATGGCCATTTAACATCTAGGCCAGAGAATACATCCTTACCATGGCCATTTAACATCTAGGCCAGAGAATACATCCTTACCATGGCCATTTAACATCTAGGCCAGAGAATACATCCTTACCATGGCCATTTAACATCTAGGCCAGAGAATACATCCTTACCATGGCCATTTAACATCTAGGCCAGAGAATACATCCTTACCATGGCCATTTAACATCTAGGCCAGAGGATACATCATTACAATGGCCATTTAACATCTAGGCCAGAGGATACATCATTACCATGGCCATTTAACATCTAGGCCAGAGAATACATCATTGTAATGGCCATTTAACATCTAGGCCAGAGGATACATCATTACAATGGCCATTTAACATCTAGGCCAGTGAATACATCCTTACCATGGCCATTTAACATCTAGGCCAGAGAATACATCCTTACCATGGCCATTTAACATCTAGGCCAGAGAATACATCCTTACCATGGCCATTTAACATCTAGGCCAGAGAATACATCCTTACAATGGCCATTTAACATCTAGGCCAGAGGATACATCATTACAATGGCCATATAACATCTAGGCCAGAGAATACATCCTTACCATGGCCATTTAACATCTAGGCCAGAGAACACATCCTTACCATGGCCATTTAACATCTAGGCCAGAGAATACATCCTTACCATGGTCATTTAACATCTAGGCCAGAGAATACATCCTTGTAATGGCCATTTAACATCTAGGCCAGAACATACATCATTATAATGGCCATTTAACATCTAGGCCAGAAAATACATCCTTGTAATGGCTATTTAACATCTAGGCCAGAAAATACATCATTGCCATGGCCATTTAACATCTAGGCCAGAACATACATCATTGTAATGGCCATTTAACATCTAGGCCAGAAAATACATCTTTGTATGGCCATTTAACATCTAAGCCAGAACATACATCATTACAATGGCCATTTAACATCTAGGCCAGAAAATACATCCTTGCCATGGCCATTTAACATCTAGGCTAGAGAATACATCCTTGCAATTGCCATTTAACATCTAGGCCAGAAACAAAATTCTTATAATTGCCATTTAATATCTAGGCTAAATTCATGAATGGCAACCTATATATAGTATGTTATAGCCAACTAACAGGAATGTCTTACAATAGGGCAGTGGTTGTCAACCTTTCTAATGCCGCGACCCTTTAATACATTTCCTCATGTTGTGGCGACCCCTAACAAAAAATTATTTTCGTTAATACTTTATAACTGTGGAGTATATGTGTTTTCAGATGGTCTTAGGTGACCCCTTTGAAAGGGTCGTGCGACCCCCAAAGGGGTCATGACCCACAGGTTGAGAACCGTTGCAATAGGGAGATTTGAATGTGTGCATTCTCTTATGATTAACCCTACTGACCTGCTATGATTAACCCTAATGACCTGAAATGATTAACCCTACTGACCTGCTATGATTAACCCTAATGACCTGAAATGATTAACCCTACTGACCTGCTATGATTAACTTTACTGGCCTGAAATGATTAACCCTACTGACCTGCTATGATTAACCCTAATGACCTGAAATGATTAACCCTACTGACTTGCTATGATTAACTCTACTGACCTGAAATGATTAACCCTACTGACTTGCTATGATTAACTCTACTGACCTGAAATGATTAACCCTACTGACCTGCTATGATTAACCCTAATGACCTGAAATGATTAACCCTACTGACCTGCTATGATTAACCCTAATGACCTGAAATGATTAACCCTACTGACCTGCTTCCTTTCTGATGAGAATCCAGAAGATGACATGCAACAGCGGACATATCGTGACAGACAACAAGCAGATCCACCAGATGTCAATGAGATCTGTCATAGTGTCAAGGACATGATTCAAACAGATCTTTTCAATGCCAAAAAAAACAGAGTGTGTGTGTGTGTGTGGTGTGTGTGTGTGCTGTGTGTGTATGTGTAAAACAATTCTATAAATAAAATCAATATAAATGTTGAATATGCTCATGATAATCTCATAACTTAATGCGTACAGCATTATTAAATGAACAATGAAAACTTAATGGCCCATGGAGCAAAGGTAAGAGATATCGATTTAGAACCGTCAAGGAGCTCATTCATTGTTGCCTACTAATAATACACACCTGTTCAAATCCTATATAAAATGTAATATTGAGCAATGGGGGTGGGACTGGAATAATGCACTCCAATTAGTACTCTAACAACCCCCCAACCCCCCCCCCCCCAATGAAAAATGGTTTCACCCCCACCCCCATGAACTATATTGACACACCCACTTTTACACAGCAGATTAATTTCACCAACTATTTCAGAAAAAAACAAGAGAAAATATTGCAAAAAAAGAATCTCATTTAGCGCAGTTATTGGGAATCTCATTTTATCTGAGTTTGTATGTGGGTGCACAGATGGGCCATATCAATGACATCATATGGGCCATATCAAGGATATCATACGGGCCGTATCAATGACATCATATGGGCCAAATCAAGGATATCATATGGGACATATCAATGACATCATATGGGCTGTATCAATGACATCATATTGGCTGTATCAATGACATCATGTCAAATAATTCCAAATGCAATGGCAGGCTAGGGTGGGGTGGGGATCCAAACGAGACCCACTAATTGCGAGAGCAAGCACCCAAGGCGGCGAGGCACTCGCGCTCGGGGCCTTTAACACCCATGGGTTCCTTCAGCACCCTCGTTAGTCATAATGCCAAGTTAAAATTAATTTTAAAAGAAAAAATTTAAACTTTGAGCAGCACAACTTTAAGCCTTTCACCATTTTAATAAATGCCATGTTGACATTATTGACATCTCCTAAAACATAAGGTCTATTTTTTTTAAATGTATCTTTGTTTAGTATTGCATTGTCTGCTGAAGAAGGCATCTTGTCTGTTTAATTGTCCTGTCTTACTTCAAGCCTAAACATATTTTGTTTCATTATTTATTTACTTACTTCCCTCGCCTTCAACATAGTCCCCCATATATTATCATATCTTGCTCCACAATTATTTATTTACTTCACACACCTTGAACGCAGTTCTCGGCATATACTTACCAATAAAGCTGGTCAAAAAATTATTTTAAAATTTGTTTGGTTACATGTGTTCTATTTCCAAAAAGCAAAAACAAGAAAAAACTGTTAAAAACGAGTTAAGCAAAGGATACATGGAAAAATCAACCAATAATAACAGAAGCTAGTATGTATAATGCCAGCAGCAAAAAATCCAGCATATATAGGATTAGGCCATCTGTGAAATGCATTTTAGGAAAGTTAATTCTGATTTATGATTAGCTGCATTGATATGTTTCTCTTTAAACCACTGCTCACATATTTCAATGATAATAAGATGAAAGACACAGTCAGAGGTTTACAAAGTTAATTATATTTTTAAAACATTGCTTTCGCTAAATGAATGAATTAGAGCATCAAGTGTGCGTTTCAACTATTGGCAAATTAGCAGTTGTATGGCGTGATTAATAAAACAGACATTTTTAAAATGTTAGTCAAACACCAAATGATCAAATACACGTCAAGACTTGAGACAAGTAAACACAGGCAACACCAGATAATTATAAAGTATTTTAAAAGATTTAAAATCTATAACAATTTAATTAAAGTCGATAACTTAAAAATGAGGCAGTTCTAAACCTTATTCTGTCCCACCACGGCTTATGAAAGTATTTAACTCATCCGCAATGCCCCCCCCCCTCCCTCCCTGGAGTCTAAAGAGTTTGAGTTAACCCACGTGGTAACTAACTACCTCCCTGGAGTCTAAAGAGTTTGAGTTAACCCACGTGGTAACTAACTACCTCCCTGGAGTCTAAAGAGTTTGAGTTAACCCACGTGGTAACTCCCTCCCTCCCTGGAGTCTAAAGAGTTTGAGTTAACCCACGTGGTAACTCCCTCCCTCCCTGGAGTCTAAAGAGTTTGAGTTAACCCACCTGGTAACTCCCTCCCTCCCTCCCTCCCTGCACAGTTTTCTTTGGTGCCACAGCTGGAGTTTGTCAAGAGCTGCCAGATTTCTCTACAAGTCTGGTTTAAAGAAACTCTGAACAACTCTTAACTCCCTACATTCATAAATCTGGAACTATTTATATGCTTGAAGTTGAAGCACATTGGATGACAGCCCAAAGACCATCTGATCGAGTGCTGGACATTCAACAAGGGGCCCGGGTCATGATCGAGTGCTGGACATTCAACAAGAGGCCCGGGTCATGATCGAGTGCTGGACATTCAACAAGGGGCCCGGGTCATGAAAGTAAAGACACAATAGAGGCAAAAGTTAACACCCACCCCCCCGTTTGCTGTTAACCAATTTCTGACAAGCCAGAGAGATTTCACAATCTTTAATACAGGTCTGCTGTCATTGCATTCAATCAATTCACAATCTTTAATACAGGTCTGCTGTCATTGCATTCAATCAATTCACAATCTTTAATACAGGTCTGCTGTCATTGCATTCAATCAATTCACAATCTTTAATACAGGTCTGCTGTCATTGCATTCAATCAATTCACAATCTTTAATACAGGTCTGCTGTCATTGCATTCAATCAATTCACAATCTTTAATACAGGTCTACTGTTATTGCATTCAATCAATTCACAATCTTTAATACAGGTATACTGTCATTACATTCAATCAATTCACAATCTTTACTGTCATTGCATTCAATCAATTCACAATCTTTACTGTCATAGCATTCGATCTTCTTCAAAAACCTCCAACAAACAGTTAATGATATTTGAAAGGTCAGATTAGGCAAACTTGACAAATTTTTTTCATTTCGGCTTTAAAGAATCTACAAAAAGTTCGTCTAATTATTAATGTTGTCTGTATTTTTAATTAATTGCAGCTTTTTTTAAAAAATTAGATCACATGTTCTATCTTTTCTTGTTCCATTATCTCTGTCTGATGTCTGTCTACTCATAAGTCTTACTTAATGACAACAATCACTCTCTGTCTGATGAGGGTGTCATAAAGAAACAATGACTGAGGGTGTCATAAAGAGCTACTGACTGATGGTGTCATTAAAGAACCACCGACGGAGGGTGTCATAAAGAACCACTGACTGAGGGTGTCATAACATTTAAATGGTGTTCATGTCACCTTCAAGTTCATTAAAACAAAGAGAATTAGTCATAGTCATCCCTTTTAAGCCTACCTGCAAATGTGGTCCATACCTGCAAATGTGGTCCATACCTGCAAATGTGGTCCATACCTGCAAATGTGGTCCATACCTGCAAATGTGGTCCATACCTGCAAATGTGGTCCATACCTGCAAATGTGGTCCATACCTGCAAATGTGGTCCATACCTGCAAATGTGGTCCATACCTGCAAATGTGGTCATACCTGCAAATGTGGTTCCTACCTGCAAATGTGGTCCATACCTGCAAATGTGGTCCATACCTGCAAATGTGGTCCATACCTGCAAATTTGGTCCATACCTGCAAATGTAAACCATACCTGCAAATGTGGTCCATACCTGCAAACGTGGTTCATACCTGCAAACGTGGTTCATACGATGTGAGATGCCATTCAGTTGTACAACGGCCATCACGCAGGCACAAAGGTAGACAAGAAACTGGTAGGATGCCAGCCGCTGTGTGATCCAGGTGACCAGTGAATAGACTACTAGTGGATAGAGCATCCAGCCATACCACATTGTGATTGGCCCGTTCACAGGCACACTTTCATGTTGTTGACTGAGGTAGGTCAAAACTGGGATCAGTTCTTTATGCCTAGAAGTGATCAAAAGAATTAGTACAATTATTTTAAACTTTTAAACTAACAATTTGCTTTGCCATTCCTTTTGTTTCTGTCTCTGATCAAACCACTGAGTGTGTTCTGTCTCTGATCAAACCACTGAGTGTGTTCTTTCTCTGATGATACTGTTGAGTGCATTATGTCTCTGATGATTGTTTAACTTACAGTAACAGCAACATACAGAAGAGACATATTTACAAAATAGATTAATATGCATTTAGTCACTCTTATCAGGGCCATGAGAATAGAAAGGGGAAACATTATATAAGGGGGACCAACTGCAATCAAGTTAGAAAAAGGGAAAGAAACCAAAAAAGCTGCACTGTTGTCTACGTCATTGTTTGCACCCACTCCTGATGTCATGTATATGTGAGACAGGAAATAAGACTGACTGACAGTGCAATGTTGTCTATGCCATTGTTTGCACCCAATCCAGATGTCATGTATAGGTGAGACAGGAAATAAGACTGACTGACAGTGCAATGTTGTCTATGCCATTGTTTGCACCCACTCCAGATGTCATGTATAGGTGAGACAGGAAATAAAACTGACTGACAGTGCAATGTTGTCTATGCCATTGTTTGCACCAACTCCAGATGTGGTTTATATGTGAGACAGGAAATAAGACTGTCTGACAGATGTAATGACTGTCTCCTTAATATTACATAAGATAAGCAGTGTCCCATCTGACAACACACTGACAACACATAAAGACAGCCCTTGGCTTTGCACACTGACAACACATAAAGACAGCCCTTGGCTCTGCACACTGACAACACATAAAGACAGCCCTTGGCTTTGCACACTGACAACACATAAAGACAGCCCTTGGCTTTGCACACTGACAACACATAAAGACAGCCCTCGGCTTTGCACACTGACAAACATAAAGACAGCCCTTGGCTTTGCACACTGACAACACATAAAGACAGACCTTGGGTTTTGCACACTGACAACACATACAGACAGCCCTTGGCTTTGCACAGTGACAAAACATAAAGACAGCTTTTGGCTTTGCACACTGACAACATATAAAGACAGCCCTTGGCTTTGCACACTGACAACACATAAAGACAGCCCTGGGCTTTGCACACTGACAACACATAAAGACAGCCATCGGCTTTGCACACTGACAAAACATAAAGACAGCCCTTGGCTTTGCACACTGACAACTCATAAAGACAGCCCTCGGCTTTGCATGCTGACAACACATAAAGACAGCCCCCTTTTCCTATTTCCATAGTGTTCAGTCAAATCTGTAAAACAATTCAATGACACAAGTAAGTTTAACTTCTTACCCAAATGAGTCTCCTTGCAAGGCTAGATCTAACGGTGTGTAGCCGTCGTTGTTTCTGAGATGGAGTGAACCAACTCCAAGTATGCACAACATTGACCATGCCATGTGACCGAACCCATTTTTACATGCTATGTGAAGTGGAAGGTTGCCTTCAGAATCAGCCTGGCGAAGGTCTGTTCTCTAAAGTAAAATTGTAGAAATTCTATACCGGTCATGTTAAGACGTAGCAAAGTCTTTTTTACAAATATTTTTTTAATGACATAACTTGTTTGCTCAATGGATTGTAAACAGTTGGTTAAAATGGTATACAACAATTCTAGAATTGGCAAACATCAAGTCTAGAAATGGCGTACAACAAGTCTAGAAATGGTATACAAAAAGTCTAGAAATGGTATACAACAAGTCTAGAAATGGTGCACAACAATTCTAGAAATGGTATACAACAAGTCTAGAAATGGTAAACATCAAGTCTAGAAAGGGCGCACAACAAGTCTAGAAACAGTATGCAACAAGTCTAGAATACTGCATGAATTAAACTTAAGTTCAGTACTTCCTCCTTAATGGTGATATTCAAATGATCTCCCTTTAAAGTCATGTTTTTCCCACCAAACAGAAAGTTCTTTGTCAAAAGCTCACCCCCTTCTGCATGAGAAAATAGAAGAGATCCAGGTGGCCATGACGGCATGTGATGTGCATAGGTGTCTGGAGCTTCTTATCCTGCTCTCTCATGTTTACCTCAAAAGCTTCTTCAAAATACTTCATCACCTGCCTAGGTGCACCAAAATGGAGAGAGTAGAGTACAAGGTAAATAAAAAGTCAAGTTAGATGATGGTCCTTGAGCTCACGGAATACAAATCATAAAACCTGAGAGAGGATATATCTACATTACAAAAGTAATTTTAAATTGTTTGTTAATTGTTGGTAAATTTAAATATTCGAAAGTACAAAATATTGGCCTTTCTGTATGACACTTGTGACATACCAATAGCAGACATTAGTCATTATTGGCATTGTTGTAGGCCTTTCTGTATTACACTTGTGCCCCAAAACAATGGAATTCTCTCCCACTACACATTCGCAATATACCGACCATCACAGTCTTCAAAACTGCACTGAAAACACATCTCTTTAAACTCTACAATCCCGACTGACATGTCAACAGTTCTGGACCTGTCTGGAGTGAATCTACATTTGTTTTGCTTTATTTCATTAATGTTTGTTAAGTTTTAAGTTCATGATGATGTTTGTTCAATTGTATGTACAGCGTGGTGAGCCCAGCCCTAGGCTGGGGTACCGCACTATATAAAACCACCAATAATAATAATAATTATTCATTATTGGCATTGTATCATGTTTTTTCTGTTGCTGCTAAAATTACCAATACAAAGAGGGAAACAGATTACCAAAAAAACAAAGAGGGTAACAGTGAATTAGATCTAATTAATCATATTTTTTCAACTTAATTTTTTATTTCATCTTTTTTTGCTTCCAATGTTGAAATAATATTGGTGTTAAAATAAAAAATAAAGTTATTAGGACTTGTTTGGTTAATGAAGTGAGTATTCTAAATGACAACAAATTGCTCTTCTTTCTGTGATTGGTCAAAGTTATTTCTAAGTTCTACAAAAATCATAGGGTTGTGAAAGAAAGGGAAATAGAAGAGTCTCCTGAAGTTATCTACATCCTAAATAGAAACAAATATATCTTGTTGAGCATGAAGCAGCATGTTGATAGGAATATTTTATTTTTGTTAACACTTTCATTTAATTTGTTTTTCAGCTACTGAACTTAAAGTACTTTATTTTGAAATTAACGCATTTGGAACCATTGTAGGCATAACACATTTGGAACCATTGGAGGCATAACACATTTGGAACCATTGTAGGCATAACACATTTGGAACCATTGTGTAGGCATAACACATTTGGAACCATTGTAGGCATAACACATTTGGAACCATTGTAGGCATAACATATTTGAAACCATTGTAGGCAAAACACATTTGGAACCATTGTAGGCATAACATATTTGAAACCATTGTAGGCATAACACATTTGGAACCATTGTGTAGGCATAACACATTTGGAACCATTGTAGGCATAACACATTTGGAACCATTGTGTAGGCATAACACATTTGCAACCATTGTAGGCATAACACATTTGCAACCATTGTAGGCATAACACATTTGGAACCATTGCAGGCATAACACATTTGCAACCATTGCAGGCATAACACATTTGGAACCATTGGAGGCATAACACATTTGGAACCATTGGAGGCATAACACATTTGGAACCATTGCAGGCATAACACATTTGCAACCATTGCAGGCATAATACATTTGGAACCATTGGAGGCATAACACATTTGCAACCATTGTAGGCATAACACATTTGGAATTATTTTGGAACAATATAGAGATGTAACCTGACATTACAATATAGAGATGTAACCTGACATTACAATATAGAGATTTAATCCACCATTACAATATAGAGCTGTAACCTGACAGTACAATATAGAGATGTCACCTGACATTACAATATAGAGATTTAATCCACCATTTCAACATAGAGATGTCACCTGACAGTACAATATAGAGATGTAACCTGACATTACAATAGCTTCATGGATATATTAACATTTCCAATGACAATTAACTTTTGCGAAGATCCTTCACATTTAAAACTAACTAAGGCCATCAATATGTCTAACTAGGGCCATCAACATGTCTAACTAAGGCCACCCATATGTCTAACTAAGGCCATCCAAATATCCAAAAAGGCCATCTATATTTCTAACTAAGGCCACCTATATGTTTAACTAATGCAATCAATGTGTCTAACTAAGGTTGAACCCACAACCGTTAGGTATACCTCTAATTTATTGTCAATAACCGTATCATTTGAATTCTACCATTAGATGTTACTATTTCCCAAAGCTGACTGTCGGTACAATAATAAAATGTAACCCGGGTAATCAGTACAGTGTGTGAAATGATGACATGTAATTATATTACAATAAACTCATATCACCCTCTTCATTACTTCTTATAACTGATATAAAAACCCATTACAAGCAAAGGATATACAAATATATTGCTAATCTCTGGGGGAAATTAGTTTATTGATAATTTTAGATGATTTTTTTACCATTTTAAAACAAAGATATCAACTTTAAGTTTAATGTACTCACACTGAACCACTTTCTGCAGCATGGTGTAAAGCATTTCTTCCAGCATTATCTAGTGCTTGAATGCGTGCTCCACATTGCACCAAGAGGTGAACCACTGAAGGAAGACCCCTTTTGCTGGCATAATGAAGTGGAGTCTCTTGATGGTCAGTAAGGCAATTGACATCAGAGTTGGCTTGAATTAGCATCAGAACTATGTTATAGTCACCAATCAGACATGCTTTATGCAGAGGACTAATTCCATGCCAACCTGAAAAATAACCAACACTAATGCATAGTGGATTTGTTGAACTATTATTGCTAAATATAAATTCCATTTTTTTTGTGGTAAAAATTAAATATAAATAGTGATTTAAAATTTTCAAGTCATAAATAAAATGAACAGTTGACAATCTCTTTATCATCCCACCAAATGTACTATAAGCTCAATGTTCTTAAAACTGGGCTGAGCAGCAAAGCAGCATGCCAAGAATGATCATCTAATGCCCTGACCCTCATCTCTCAGTTTTTTAACTCTTTTGTTGCGAGCCTAAAAAGCACAGTCCAATGCACTGTGTGTTGTTTCACTATCATTATTGTTTCTTTACAATTTCTTTGTTAACATTTTTAAGAGCTATTATTTAATTAGAATTTTAAGAAGAAGAGTGCTACTTCATTGTTTATGACTGAAAGCAAGGTTTATTAGTTGTCATTTGAAGATCTATTTTATTAATATTAATATTCTTTGCTGTTTTTCTTTTCTTTATTCATACTGTTGCTATGGCTACTAAGGCCCTATTGAGGTAAGTTTCCAAGACGCTCAACAAGGTTTGGAAATAATTTATACTATTTCTATTGATAGTAAAGATGATTTAGATCACTGGTTCTCAACCTTCCTAATGCTGCAACCTTCTAATACGATTGCCCATGTTGTGGTGACCCCCAACCATCAATTTATTTTCGTTGCTATTTCATAAATATGTGTTTTCCGATGGTCTTTGGCAACCTCTGTATAAGGGATGTTCGACCCCCCTAAGGGGTCATAACCCACAGATTGAGAACCGCTGATTTAGATTGATCACATGATTCCGAAATTAGCAGTTTTAGATGAGTTGAGTTATCTTTCATGTCATACCAAATTTAGCCTTATAAACCAAAAAAATAATATTTTAAATATTTTCTAGTAAACCCAACCTATCACTCTTTTTGGCTCTTTGAAAATAATATCAAGTTTTTCATTTAAAAAATTCAGCAGTGAAAGAGTTTAGGGTGGGAAATACCTTTAAGGTGGATCAGATTTGGATAACTATTTAATAACTGTTGTATCACGGAACTTAAGTTTTTCCCAATTGCATCTAATAACATTTCAAATGCTGCTGCCTGTAAGCCCCCATTTGATAAAGGCTGAGTACTCATAGTGGAAGTTATTTTGATTGCTAATCCTAACTAATTCAATAGTAAAATATCCCTTAAGTGATTGTAAAGAAAGTTGGCATCGTGTGACTGTTCATTTTGATGATGGTGTAACTCTCAAAAGTGGCCATTTGTAAACAGTTATCTGACGACAATGTTGGTTGCAGGGCTGCCACTCACTTTTTTCTCTATGCCCAAGATTTCATAAAATAAATCCCAAGATTTCCCTAGGTAATAAAAATACGCTAGTTAAAAAACTTAAAAATTTAATTACAATAATAGATTGAATTAATGCATCAAAAATAGACCGTCCAGCAATGAACTTCAATTAGTTGCTTGTTTGGTCATGTGATTTAAGCAGACTATTTTTTTTACAAAGTCAATCACTTCCAATAAATTATATAGACCTAGTTTTATTTTTGAGATTTTTTAAAGCTAACTGAAATTAACTAGACTCTATCAGGGAATGCTATGATTAAACTTAAAGGAAATTATCATCTTGATTGAAAGGTATTAGGCTAACTTTAGGTAAGGGGTGTTCGGGAAAATATCCAGTAATTAAAAACTCACTCTTGATATTTGTTCATATTCTGTGGGTTTCTCAAAACAATTTTAATAAATTGAATTTTGCTATGATGTGTAGACTTTGGACTTTCAAAATTATTACGTTTCACTGAGTGTTTATTTAGTTTCATTGATGAGTATCTATTTTAATTTTCAAAAGCTAGATCGATCGAATCATGTACTTTTCCTGCTGTAGATAATCTTTAAATCATGATAATTAAAAGCAATTTTAAGTTAATTTTTTTTATATCCATTATTTCCAAGCTGTCCATTTTTTCGCAAATTCAATAATTATATTAAACATTATGATGAGTTAATATACTTGTTGCGAATGCCTGAACCCTTGTCAACACATTCAATACGGGGATGCCAATTTCTTTTTTTTTAAATTTAATTTTTGTTATATACATTCCTATTTTTTATTTTCTTTTTAATAAAGTGTTAACTCTAATTTAAAGATTTCATATCTTCAAAGGCATTAAAAAGTACAGCCAACCTCAAAGATTTCGAAATTGGAAGTAGTGAAACAAATAATTTCTTTCTTTCTTTTTTTTTTTTTTCCCAAGAAGGGTCTTGAATTCCCAAGATCTTGGGAAATTTCCCAATGGATGGTGTTCCATAAACTATTATAAATTAATGACTATATTTTTTTAAACAGAACAATAAGAAAAATACATACATAAATTTAGTCTTTTATCTCATTTCCACTCCCCCTTTTTAACATCATTTCTTTGAGAAGAAATATATAAATATATATTTTATATAAACAAATGTTGACGTTGTTGGTATAAGCGAAGAATATAAATCTTAAATTAGAAGATTCAGTCCTTTCTTTTTTAAAATTATTTTTATTTTATCTGTTCTTATTTTTTTATTTTTTAAAGACTAAAGTAAGCGATAAACGAAAGAGAAAGTGAATTTTTTCTAACATACATTTCTTTGACAGTGATTTGACTTGGATTAACTTGGTATTTGGTAATCATTACAATAAAAATGACATTCATTCGTCTACTCTTTAATTAAAATTGAAAACATTCACGCAAAGTCCGTTTACTTGCTCTTACATCGTGTCATAAGAAATATTCATACTAATAATCATACTAGTCTAGTTACTAGACTAGAGTCACTAGTCTTTTCACTTTTTATTAATTTATTATTTATTAATCTTGATTAGTCTTGAATCATTCATGTCGGCTTTCATGTCATATTATAATTAATATCACAATAATAATATTAATAATCATAATCATACCTATCATATGACATGACTGATTCAAGATTAGTAAGCATTTTGAATAATATGGTCTTAGCTTTAAAATTTAAAGTGTACTTGACTTGACTAAAAAGTTATGTCCTATTTATGTCCAAGAACCAAGTCACAGAAGATGTACACTAAACAACAATAATAATAATAGTAATAGTCTTTCTTGTTGAGACAAGTCTTTTATAATGAATTATATTTATATATTCAAAATGAAAAACTATAAGAAACATAATCTTGTTTTTTTAACGAAGTGTCTACACGTCCGGCGACTTGTCACGTGACCGCCGGACATGGCCGGACGGCTAGTAGTTTTTATAATTCCAAACGAAGTATGATTTAGTACATCTTGTCTGGTCTTGTGGTAGAGTGGTTGCTTGACGATAGGAATGTTTGAGGATCTATACCGGGGATAGGGTCGTTTTTTTTCTTCCCATTTTAATTAAAATATTTTGTATATATTTATATTATCATGTTCCTCAGCAACAGTAGTTTCATGAGAAGTTTTTAAATATTTTGTAGCAATTGAAATAATTTAAAATGAAATCTTTAACTTTTATTGGTTGCCACACTGGCCCCTAATTTATTTTATGGATTACTGGTACACAAAAAATAACAAACTAAACAAAAATGATTTTGTAGCAATTGAAATAATTTAAAATGAAATCTTTAACTTTTATTGGTTGCCACACTGGCCCCTAATTTATTTTATGGATTACTGGTACACAAAAAATAACAAACTAAACAAAAATGTTTACAAGCCACTTTCACTTAAGTTTCTTTTTCTATTATTTGCATTCAAGATACTCAGTACATTACTTGGTAGAGAAATAGATTTTAAAATTAACAATAGTTTTGAATTATTCGCAGTCACATGACAAGGCTGACCGACACGATATCTCTCGCCACTTTGTTACGGCGGTCATGTGACTTGGTCGCCGGACACATAGTGCGGGAGATAGACGTCTGGCGCGCCGGACGTGTAGACACTGCCTTTTTTTAATAGTATTTTTACTCTTTTTTAAATTAAAATTGAAAACAAAGTTAGCATAGTTGAAATAATACAAAAGAAAAGATAGTTGAGAGTATTGATGGCTATTGATGGTATTGTCAATAATGGTATTCATTCATTGTTTATTGTAAATTTTTATAGTTTAAAAGTTTAAGTTTAATCAAATAATCAACTTAAACTTATTTGATCAATAGTAATTGATTTCTTAACTAGTAGACAGTATAAGTAGAGTGATGATGATTTTTTTATAGTTCTAATATTATCTAATTGAACTAAATATTATACTTTGCAACTTTAAACAACAACCATTTAACAATTTTATTAGAATCAAAACACAAATTTAAGTCCCAGGAACCCTTATCATGTACAGTGCCATGTGTGATCTATACAGAGACCTCTTCCCACATTGAGGTGTTCTCCTCAAAGTAAATGTCAACATCTACATATTATTAATAATATCCCATTAATTAATTTAAAATTCTTTTTTAAAATTCACTTTAAACAACAAAATTTGTTAACTAATTATCGTAATACACTTGTATTATGTTCACCCTCACAGGTCTTAAATCCAAGGAAGTTAATAATTTAAAACATCAAAATAAGATCATTGGTCAAAGACCTTTAATTTAGGACACTAAAATAAAAGATTAACAAAAAGACTACTCCATTGGCGTTGGGTGGCGCATATCAGGTAATTAAATGTTAGACACCCCTCAAATATTGTTTTACATGCCTCTGCCAACCCCCCTCCCAAACAATTCAGTCTGACAACAAACAAGCATTTACAAACAGCAATAATGAACATTTTATAATATAAATAAAAATAGTGCATAAAGTATGTTCTGCTTTTTATGCTCCCCCCCCCCCCGAAGTAGATCTGCTACTAGCTTCTAACTGATTTATTTTATATTATATATCGGGGTAAAATTTGATTGTTGGGGTCAGAGATGTCATGTCATAAGCATTTAATCATTTACTCGGTGCCTTGCCGCATATTTGGGGAGAGAGTGTTTTCGTTAAAGCTTTGGAAAAGAATAGTTTTTGGCCTATACTTCTATTTGTTTCTTTTCCTTTTTAATGAAATGTGTTCTCTTCACAGCATACTTTTTTGGACCATGCTGCTAATCTAATTACTGAAATTTGACACCCACTTGAGTTGACTGAACAGAAACAATATGGCAATAACTCCCGGCCACAATGCGGCCACATGTAAACGTCAGTTGTCTGAAGAATCGGAAGAATTTGAAGTGCCTGCTAAAAATCCGAAATTTGAGAACTCGGAAACTCACAATGTGGCCACATGTAAACGTCAGTTGTCTGAAGACTCTGAAGAAGTTAAAGCGCATGCTAAAAAACAGAAATTAGAGAACTCTGAAACTCCAATCAACAAAAATAGAGATTTTGGAGCAGAAAAAAAGTCTAAAGTAGACATTGAACAACACAATGCAGCAAGCAGACAGTCTGCAGAGATTTCATCAGCTCTTTTACATTCAAGGGAAAAGAAAAAGAAAGCAGAAAATGGTGTTAAGCCTGAGAAGATGCAGGAGAAAACGACGTTTAGGAGAAGAATGAAGTCTCTTTTTCACTCTGTAGTGAGCCTTGTAAGTCTTCATACTAATTATGTTTTAATAACTCATACTAATACCCAATTTTTGTATCTTTTCTTGTTTGTTTTGAAACAGAAGAACTTCTTTTAAAATTGGAGAAGTGAACTGTTGAAGATAATTTTTTAATGTATAAAATTACATTGAACACTTTTGAAAGTGTTCTTATTTGACCTTTCACCTATCCATAGTTTACTTCTGAAAGTTCTCTTATTTGACCTTTCACCTGTCCATAACTTTCAAAATTTATGGTTATTGATTCTTTTTATTATTTTTTTAACCAGCTTTTCCTTAAAAAAAAACCAACCTCAGGCTACTTGGTAGGTTTTTGAAATGATGTCATCATTTCTTAATAAACTCATTTGAATACGACATCTTGTTTTATGCTGATCTGACTGGGAGTTTGAACCATGTTAAATTTCACCAGTAACTTTATTTTTTACCAGTCGTCACAGACTGTATTTACGTCCTCTCAATATAAATGAATATCTATAGCAAATTCACGTCTGCAAAACAAAGTGACCTCAGATTGTATTATAAACGTCGGCTAATCTACTTTTAGTAGTTCACTTTTTTGTCACCAGCTTAACTCTATCCCACTAGGCGCTGGATGTGAGTAGTTCATATTGTGTCTATAATGAATACAATAAATTAACATACATGTAATGAATACAATTTTATTTATTTACTGTTAAGATGCCGTATTGTACAATTTTTGAG